TGGGCATTCTGTCAAAGACAAGATTCTGGGGAAGTAGAAAACACATGAATCTTACTGTTCAATCACCCACTTCTTCCCACACGCAACAATAGCTCATGGGTACCACAGATAACTTTGCCAAAGTTCTCTGCCAAAGTTGAGCACGTGAAGCTTGCAGCTCCCACTACATCGCTCTGACCAAGAAGGGTAAAAGAATAGCAAAGAAACAGCACTAACAAAGTTTAGACCCATAAATTTTGAAGGTCTAGCTACCATATTATTACCCACAAGGGTAAAGGAACAGTACCATTGTTGGATAATTGGAAAGTCCATGTATGTCAACCTCTGTGCTTCGTGGCAAGGTAGACTAGCAAACATGCCCAACCTTTACTCACATTCGAGAAAACACTCCCAATAAGATTGCTTGCTCCAAAATCGAAGAGGTACCGTCCTCCGAATCTAAAGAGCCAGACTCCCAACATGACTACTTTCTTAAAAATCGAAGAGAGGGTAAAGGAACAGTACCATTGCTGGATAATTGGAAAGTCCCTGTGTGTCAACCTCTGTGCTTCGTGGCAAGGTAGACTAGCAAACATGCCCAACCTTTACTCACATTCGAGAAAACACTCCCAACAAGATTGCTTGCTCCAAAATCGAAGAGGCACCACCCTCCGAATCTCGAGAGCCACTCTCCCAACATTATTACTTTCTCAAAAATCGAAGAGACACTGCTCCCCGAATCTCGAGAGCCAGACCCCCAGCATGATTGCTTTCTCAAAAATCGGTGAGGCACCGTTCTCCGAATCAATCGAAGAGGCGCTCGCTTTCTCAAAAGCTGGGCTGCTCAGAGACCACAAGGGCCGATCTCAGAAATCAAAGAGGCACCTACTTTTCTAGCCTTGTCAGCACCTGTCACACGCACACTCAGCTTTGCAGAAATTATGGGCATTCTGTCGAAGACTTCTGGTGAAGTAGAAAGCACATGAATCTTACTGTTCAATCACCCACTTCCCACACGCAACAATAACTCATGGGTACCACAAATCACTTTGCCAAAGTTCTCTGCCAAAGTTGAGCACGTGAAGCTTGCAGCTCCCACTACATCGCTCTGACCAAGAAAGGTAAAAGAATAGCAAAGAAACAGCACTAACAAAGTTTAGACACATAAATTTTGAAGGTCTAGCTACCATATTATTACCCACAAGGGTAAAGGAACAGTACCACTGCTGGATAATTGGAAAGTCCCTGTGTGTCAACCTCTGTGCTTCGTGGCAAGGTAGACTAGCAAACATGCCCAACCTTTACTCACATTCGAGAAAACTTGCTTGCTCCAAAATCGAAGAGGCACCGTCCTCCGAATCTCGAGAGCCAGACTCCCAACATGACTACTTTCTCAAAATCGAAGAGAGGGTAAAGGAACAGTACCATTGCTGGATAATTGGAAAGTCCCTATGTGTCAACCTTTGTGCTTCGTGGCAAGGTAGACTAGCAAACATGTCCAACCTTTACTCACATTCGAGACAACACTCCCAACAAGATTGCTTGCTCCAAAATCGAAGAGGCACCGCCCTCCGAATCTCGAGAGCCAGACTCCCAACATGATTACTTCCTCAAAAATCGAAGAGACACTGCTCTCCGAATCTCGAGAGTCAGACCCCCAACATGATTGCTTTCTCAAAAATCGAAGAGGCATCGTTCTCCGAATCTCGAGAGCCAGATACCACAGACCACTTTTTCAAAGTGCTCTGACAGAGTTAAAACATGTGAAACTGGCAGCTCCCACTACCGTGCTATGACCAAGCAGGGTAAAAGAATAGCATTACTACTTGTTGTTAGGGAGACTCCTATATATGTCGACCTCCATCCCCAACGGACAGGCAGACCTGCAAAAATGCTCAACCCTTCATCATATCTGAGAGGGCACTCCCAACAAAGCCTTTCGAAATATTCAGCTTTCTTTCCCCCCCGATAATACCTCTGCAAACAAGCTATACTAGAGCAAGAATATCTCATATCATCAGGGTTAAAAGCAAGAGTATCCCATATCATGCTTTTTCCCTGTTTTTTCTTTTGGCCTTGTTTTTACCTGCAAGACAAGGAGAAAGAGAGCAATCAGTCAGCACTTGGAATCAAGCTTCCAGCCAGGAACTGACTGCCTGGAACCCCTTACCTGATTACTTACCTGGCATTGCTCTCGAGTACTCATCTTCAACATCTTATGTTTCCAGGGAAGATTCCGCATCTGCTTGAGGAACAGATAGGGCAAGTGCGAAGGATACAAGGAAGCATGTGGAGACAAGCGTAACAGCACACGTGCCGATACATCCATTACTCTGTCAAAAGCAAAAGTATCCCATATCAGCAGGGTGGAACGTACTCTAGATTTGATGGACTTGTTTTGACCCTCAAATTCTTCAGTTGGCCTTATACTCTGGAGGAAAAACCAGAAAACCCTCCAGCTCAGTTCAAGAATAAGCCTGTAAGAAAGTTACTGTGGAAAGTTCTTCAAAAGCAAAAGTATCTCATATCATCTCTTCTCATTTTTCTTCTCTTTTATCCTTCATGCTGCTGCAAGATGGGGAGAAGGTGAACAATCAGTCGGAGCTCTGATTGCTTACCTTGTCTGTCACCTCTTTCAGCAGACAGACCCCTAGCTCGGCGACTTGGGGGACTCCTACTACATGGTTTGTATCGCGCTTGACCAAGCCTGAAACTACAAGTAAGCTTCAAGTGAAATTGATACATTACCTTGTGCATCTCCACCAGTTAAAGATACCACCCCTGGATGGAGGAAGAGTACTTCCAGAGAAGATGCCACATCTACCTATGAGACAGATATGGCAAGTCAAGACGACACCACACTCCGATACTTAGAAGTTTCGTGATTACGAGATCATTCTCCCACAATATTTCCTAATGTCATTTGTACTAAATCATTCACTCGTACTCACTAAAGGAGAGCTTGAACCTATGTACTTGTGTAAACCCTTCACAATTAATGAGAACTCTTCTATTCCGTGGACGTAGCCAATCTGGGTGAACCACGTACATCTTGTGTTTGCTTTCCTATCTCTATCCATTTATATACTTATCCACACTAATGACCGGAGCAATCTAGCGAAGATCACAAAAAGCGACCGATTTCGTTACCTATGATCTATCTTGCAAGAGAACGGAGAATTAGATGGAGATCTCAACCATAGAATACGAGCTGGATGGAAAGAGTGCATCCGGCGTGTTGTGTGACCGTCGTAGGCCACTGAAGCTCAAGGGAAAATTTTATAGGACGGCAATAAGGCCAGCGATGTTGTATGGCAGAGAATGTTGGGTGGTGAAGCATCAACACGTACACAAAATGGGTGTAGCGGAGATGAGGATGCTTCGTGGGATGTGTGGGCACACGAGAAAGGATAAGATTGGGAATGAGGATATCCGAGGTACAGTAGGAGTAGCCGAAATTGTAGGAAAGATGAGAGAAAATCGGCTCTGGTGATTTGGACATATGCAAAGAAGGCCGACTGACGCTCCGGTTCGAAGATGTGACTACGGGACAAAGGTTCAGGGCCGAAGGGGTAGAGGAAGACCTAGGAAAACTTTGGAAGAGACTCTAAGAAAAGACTTAGAGTACTTGGATCTAACGGAGGACATGACACAAAACCGAGCGCAATGGCGTTCTAGGATTCATATAGCCGACCCCACTTAGTGGGAAAAGGCTTTGTTGTTGTTGTTGTTGTTGTGGTGGGTTTCCAATATAAGGGTTGGGATGGAGTTTCGGTGGTCGTAGGTTGAGTTTGGAGGTGGTAGGGGCCTGATATTTCTCGATCTTTATTTTGGTTTTCCATTTTATTTGGGAATTTGTTTATTTATTTTTATTTTTTTTATCTTTGTTTCTTTTTTGAAATTATTGTTATTATTATTTTAGTGTCCATATAAGCTAAAAAGTGGAACCCATTGTTGCCACATGTACATTTGCCAGAAAAAGTTAACGGGTGCTTAATGGATGTGCTTTTCAATTGATTGGATATTTATTTGAAATGTTTAAAAATATTGAGAATAATTTGAAATGACGTTAAAAAGTTTGGGTGTTTTAAGTACTCAATCCTTTAATTAATTAAAAGCTTTTACGCTACACTAACCTTATGTGTTCGAATTTCCACTCCCAATTATTCTATTACTTGGAAACAAGGTTCATTAACACTAACAAATTTTTTTGTTTTAACAAATGATATTATTAATACAAAAAGGGGGTGGGAGAATGGCTAAGCCTCACAATGGGCTAATAATAATATGACGAGAATCGAAAATAAGGTTTCTCACTTATAAGTTAAGAGAATACAAGTAAATCGTAATACTAAAAAGCAATTAACATTAATATAAATAAATAAATAAAAATCTGAAGCCGAGCCGAAAAGCGATAGGAAGCTCGAGCTATGAGCTAGCCAACAAACCACCCTAACCGAAAGGGAGAGCGACCGAGTTAAACACTTTTTCTTAAGATAATATTTAACGAGTTTCCAAAAAAAAAAAAAAAAAAAGATAATATTTGGCGTTACCAATTCAGACGGGGGGGGCCCACAACCGACCGTTTTCGGTAATACATGGAACGCTTGCAGTTTGCATTTTTGTTCCCCTCGTTTTTGACTTTCTTTTTTTATTATTATTATTATTTGGTTGGGCGACATCAAAAAGGACGACGTTGAAACCCACATCTCCACCTATCAACCATCTCTGACCAACGGCTCAGATGAGGGTTACGTGGCCAGTTGTAAAAACGAAACGCACCGTTGGTTTGCTCGCAGGGCCGAACTTTATCTTGTTATCTCTATTGTCCTCTAGCATTTGGGGAAATTACAGAAGATAGCTGCCAAAGTAGCCAAAATCAAAACAAAACACATATACTGCAAGTGCACTACCACAGCAACGCTCTGTACCAATAAAGTAAAAACATAAATTTTTGTTCATATTTTTGTGTCATTGACATAAAACACCTGTGAGATAACGGTCAAAGAACAAAAACATTATTTTCAGAATATTCGCATAATTTCATATGAATTTGCTCGAGTGTTCGGACCAAAAATATAAATAGAAAGAGAGAAGGCCCCATGATTTACAAAATTGGGGACTTTTAGACCAACTAGTACACAGAAAAGCCCCAAATGCTGCAAACTCTCTTTTTGGATAGCTATATATAATGACTTAGGTGAAAAGCATTTTGAGCTCCTCAATTCTGGCAGAACGAACTTCCTCGTCAGTGAGAGCTCCGGCAATCATTCTCTGCTTCCTCGCCTGAACTTGTTGCATTCGCTCCTCCACGGTGTCCTGCAATGCGCAAAGCAAAATCATTTTGAGCTTCTCAGTCCGTGTTTCGTGATCAATTGAGTTTGGAGTGGAAAACGTGAGACGCAAGAAAAGTAGATCAAATAAAAGAAAGCCAGCAAAGCAAGAGTTGCTTGTTCAACTCACTAAAGGAAAAACATCATTCAATTTCAAGCAAAAAAACACATGTAAACTACTGAAAGATCACCTTGACAATAAATCTTCTGACTACAACAGTTTGCTTTTGGCCAATGCGATGAATTCTCATTATCGCTTGCTCCTCTACAGCAGGATTCCACCACGGATCCTGGAAAAAGGAGGAATACGATGCTTTTGACACGAGGGATGAAAGGATTAATTACCAGAAACATGCAAATTATAGATATAAAGATTGGGAAGTACCATTATAAAGACATTAGATGCTGCAGTTAAATTTAGACCAACACCACCCGTTTTCAAGGATGTCAGCAACACCTGAGTATTTGTAACACATTTGCAGAATGTTAGGGATGAATAGATCGCTGCCAAATTATAACAGCCAAGGAAGAGAACGTGACTCTTGCAGCTTACCATTTTCCCCCTGCTGTCGTTGAACTCGTTTAAAACCCTCTCCCTCTGTGTCTGAGACAGCTTTCCATCAAACCTCAGAAATCCAATTCCTCTTTTCTTCATAGGGGACTCCAAGAGATCCAAAAAAGTAGTCCACTGACTGAACACAATGCTCTTTGCACCAGAACCTGACCGAAGAATACGTTCCAAGAAATCCAATAGCTTTGCAACCTTGGAAGATTCTGTCCAGTTTTCCTCATCGGTAACCTGGAAACGGCTTTCTGATGGGCAGGTAATAAGGTCAGTGTTTGCAAGCCATTGCCGACAGATTGGGCATCGACCAGTAGCTGGTGTCTGCCAGCTTGAGAGAAGACACTCTCTGCACATCTTGTGTGCGCATGGTGTAAGTACAGGATCATCTGCAAATTCCAAGCATATGGGACACTCTTTGTTTTCACCACGACGGATACTCTCCACAACCTCTTCAACGTAGGCTTGAGTGGGGACAATCTGCTTTGAACTGGAAGAATCATGACTAGCTTCAAGGAATTTTCTGGCAAGATTTTCAAAGTCCGCAAACTTGTGTGGATCATTCCGACTTTTTATCTTTTGTGAATCAGCGCTACTGCATACATGCAAACAAGATTTTATTAGAAGTAGATCAATACAATCAACAAGGAAACACATTGGTTATTAAGTAGTTAGAAATAATCGCAAATCCATTCCCACCTCATAACAAGATACGGGTGATTGCAACACTGCCTCAATCGAAGTAGCAGCTCAAGGATATTTGCATAGTTGTGAAGAACCTTGCCTTGCGCTACAAATTGATCAAACTGGACCTGTATAGTTTGCATAAAAGATGGTAAGCACTAAGCACCATGGATGATAGAATCACCACTGATGAGCTATCAATAATAACTAGGCTACAAGATATCCTTTTAGAGTCGAGAAAACTTACTTTTGATCTCTTAAAAAGGGCATCGTAGAAGTAGCGTTCAGCATCCGACTGTTCACACTTGATGGTTTGAATGTCGACTGGAGGGAGAACAAGTATGGGCCTGAGCCACAAGCAACAAATGTTAAAAGGCTCCAAAGATATTATGTGTGTCTGTGTGTGTGTCTGTGTGTGTATGTGTGTGTGTGTGTGTGAGAGAGAGAGAGAGAGAGAGAGAGGGTTTAAAGGAATCCAAAAAGTATTTTACCTTCCTTTTTTATCTGTTGTCTCCTTTGTTCTTCTTAGCATTAGTGACCTCAAAATAGCCTTGATCAATCTCAGTCCTCTTGGATCACCATTCTCATATGGTTTTTGAATTAATTTACTCCACCTAGATGTAGATAATACCATGTTAGTGACACACATACTAACATGCCCACTAGCTCCCCAATTGTTATAACTGCAATACAATAGCAATATTTTAAAATTCATACCATGACCAGTTACACCACGGTTCGACATGCAAGAAGCATAAGAGGCTGTAGAGGTCTTCCAAATTGTTCTGCAGCAATGGATTTCACAAATAATGTTAGAACAAATGAATAATCCCCCCCCCTAAACTCTATTAGAAACAACTAGTTAAAGTCTCCAAAAATGCACCCAAAGAAATGAAGACAGGTACTGTTAAAAGAGCAGTGCTGTACACATGCTTTGTTAGCCGTTGTGGTTTCTATCACGCATACTCACATATCTATCAGGTATGAAATCAGGATGCATACCTGAATAGGGGTTCCTGTCAAGCACCATCGACAATGCGAGGACAAGGCAAAAGCAGCCTGAGCTGCTTGGGTTTTTGAAGCCTTAATGGTATGTGCTTCATCAAGCACCACCCTATACCAGTCAACCTGATGGAAAATACTGTTCTCCTTATCCTAAAGGAAAATTAAAGCATCCATATAACAAAGAAGATGAATAAATTTGTTTTAGTTGATTTTAGCAAACAAAAAAAGTGCTAAGAGTTGCTTTAAACAGAGGGTATTTTTTTCCTTACACTTTTATAAGATGCAGCCAACACACCATACGTTGTCAAGACAACATCTTGTGCCGAGATTGTTTTGGGGTCAGTGGTTCTGTACCCACCATAGTGGACAAAAATAGAAATACTTCCAGACTCTGAATGGGTTTCGAGCTCATCCTGAAACATTGAAAGAAATGATAAGATATCTTCCAAAGTAGTTCAAACTATTAGGGAATAAATTAAGATACGATCACTTTTTCCTGGACCATTAATTGTATGCCTAAATTCAGACAAAAAACTTCTTTGAACAAAACACTATTCAATACAAAACAGAAGATTCACCTTCCACTGGCTTAACAAAGACATGGGACAGACAACAAGAGTGCCCCCCCTTGGTTTCAAGGGGGTGCTTGTATCTGTATCCATCCTCCTCCTTTTTGTAATCTCGGTACTTTCAGAGCTTTTTCGGACTGGTCTTGCAAGTATTAGAGCAATTGTCATCACAGTCTTCCCAAGTCCCATTGCATCTGCTAGGATCTATAAAAACACCCTTTTAAGTTGGAGAAAAGATTTACATGATAATAACCAGAGAAAAAAAGGAAACCGAACATGTACTAAAGCAAATTAAAGAAAATATGGACAAGAGGGAAGATAAAGAAACCCACTCCTCCTCTTGCCATTAGCGTTGCAGTTGGAAGTTTTGTGGTTGCCTCCCCTGTGAATATGTTCACATAGACTGAAGAAACTCTCCTGAAACACGGCATGTTTAGCTAAGTTAGACGCTTAAGCTATTTGATTTGATTCTATGGACACACCATATGTTATGACAAAGAAAATAGAAAATAAACTAGAAGTTAGTTCTCGCTTCTTCCATATTCATTTGGCAACATACTCATCACAAATATGATAGGCTGCCCAGCAAGGATGAAGGGTTTGTGCTGCCTTCTCAACATCAATTCCCTTCTCTAATTCAGACATCCAGTAGAGAGCTTGCTTCTGGTATGGCTTCAGAACGCATGTGAGAGTACTTGACGGTTCCATCTCCTACAAAATTGAGAGAGAGAGAGAGAGAGAGAGAGAGACCAGGGGGTGAGGAAAGAGTATATTGATGACATCAAAAACAAAAACCATAGTTACTCTGAATTTTGAACAATATAAGCATTCCAAATACCTACCTCCAAGTCATATACATCTGCTGCACCAACAAGTTTATTTAGAGATGATTCTGTAACAACTTGTTCATCTTTGCTTTCTTCTGAAGGCTGTTGGGTGGTGCCCTTTCTTCGTTTCACTAAGGGCAACACTGGTGCAGCACCATCTTCAATACGCTGTTTTGAACCAAGCATGTCTATGTTATTCAATGTCAAATTATCCATGGTAATTTAGCAATGAAGATGTGTATAAGACAAATCCTTGTATTGAAATATTTAATTGTCTTCATCAAAGCACTTTCATTGGAATTCAATTAGCACACTGAAACTTTACCCAAAAAATTAAATAAATCATAGCACCACTGAAAAGCACTCTCACTAAAGAAATGGCAAAAGAACCAATTCACGATTTGCTTTTACCAAGGGTTGGAATTCTTGCAAAGACCTCACTCAGTTAATGAGTTCAAGTATAATCAAAGCACAATCTAAACTTTCATCTGGTAGTTGGTACAATAGTTTCTTGGTCACAAACTCCCAAAAACATTTAGTAATAAACACACATGAAAAGATTATATGGATAAGTGGAGATTCAGCAAATCCAATTTTCAAACACGTGAGATCAATGCAAATGAACAAAAGAATGGTTAAACATACTTCAATGTTCAATAGACGTTTTCGGGAATCAAGATCTTCTGGGGTGAATTCAGCCTGAATGAAGCAAAATACAAAAGTACATATCAGTACATCACATACCAACAAAGAACAGAGTTTCTAATGCGTGGACTTGTATATGTCGAATGCTAACATTACCACAGGACAAATAGGTACTACCTTTTGATACGGCCGAATTTTCAGCAAGTTGAACAAAGTGAGGAGAGGATACAATGAAGTATTAATGACAGGGGAAACATCTAGCCTCCATGACGAGTGGTCACCCTCCGTAAAAATGGAATGGTGAATATAAAAACTGTAAAAATATTACAATTGAACACAATTAGCACACACAAAACTGAGTAAGATAATTCCAAGGAATGTGAGGACAGCTGGATAGGACCTCTACCTTACATACAATACAACCTCTTGCATCATAGAAAGGACACTCGGTGCAGCTATACAACGCCCACGAACTTTAACCTTACCAGAACTTACAAGCGGAATAACAGTCTTCGCCCATTCCATGGGAAGCCGACCAATCTATAAAATTAATCGTATATAGAACATGTCATTCATTAATCCTATCGAACATATAACAAGATAACATATTTTGTTAAACAGAACACAATGAAGCAACAAGGAGGGAACATTGATATACCTCTCCAAATCGTTTGGTCGAGAATCGAACAATCCATTGGGTTTTGTAGCTTGAGTTTGCACAAGGAAAAGTGAAATGAACAATCTCATTATCAACCAATTTCCTGCCTTTCGAAGTTGAAAGTGCAGTGATAAACGTCCTTCCCACCATAAGCCAATCCTGCTCCACAGGGAAATCTGCATCTTCCAAATTCTCGGGTCTCATCTGTTGCACCGAAATCACTTGACAATCAGGAACTTCCTTCTTCACCTGGCTCTTAGGCTCCGGCCCCTTGCGCGAAGAGATCGAGTTTTCGAGAATGTAATTGATGGCGGCTTCTGGGTTGTCACCGCATCTAGCGAGCACTAGGAGAATATCAAGTTCGCGTATCTCAGGCCCCAGCCCCAAAACTGAGCGAATTTTCTTTACATTCTCTTCCTTTCGAATCTGCCTCTCTTCCTTCTTCAACGGGCTCTCATGCTTAGCTATGTGAAGCTTTTCAGCTTCACCTGACTCCTCAGAGGCCTCCAGCATGACCAGGGTTGTAATGGGTTCCACATTTAGGACCAAACCCTCTTGACTCTCAGGAACCTGACTCGGCACTAAGCTCAGAGACTCCGCCTCCTCCGACTCCTCGATGGGCTCTGCCTTGACCCGAATCGGAACAAGTTCCTGGCTATCAGGAACATCAGAGGGCTCCTGCTTGACCAGAGTCAAACTCTCTCGACTATCAGGAACTTCTTCCTTAACCGAGAATTGAGCCTTCGACCCGCGAAGCCTTTCGGTCTCATCCGTCTCCTCGGACACCTCTTCCTTAAGCACGGTCGAGATACGAGCCCCCGCGCCTGGATTCGTCCGCTTCACCATCACCCCCATCGGAATTCCAACCGGAATTCCCATCGGAATTTCGAAGTTGTCTTGCTCCTCTGCATGTCTGGCGTCCAAGTCTTCCATAATAGACATGGATCTGGAGGCAGAAGACGGAAATTAGGATTAGGGTTTCGGGAAATTGAAGGGAGATTTTGAGGAGGAGGAGGAGGAGAGGAAAGGGAGGGAAATGAAAGAGGGGCCTCTGCGCCTTTTGCGTTTATATTAGGATCTGATTTTGGCGCGAAACCAAGTTTTTAGTTTTAACCTTCACCAAGTTTCGCCGTTAAATTTCACGGTTTTTTAACCGCTTTGGGTATTTTTGGGCGTATCATGTACCTTTGGTTTTCAACATTTTGGCGCCAAAGCAGGGAGGTCAACGGTTGCTGGCTGAGTAAAAATTTCAAGTTACCGCCAAGACTGCATTATCTTCGATGTGGGCGCACGTCGTCGTTTCGAGTAAATTGAATTTTCTTTTCAAGAATGTTTTGAAAATTGAGACAAGAACATCTCCAATCAGAGAAATTTGGCCTAATCGGATAAATGGTTACCGTGGTAATAAGCTATTCGGATGATAGCCCCTGTGGTAAAAAAATTCGGATTTAAACCCCTGTGGTCTAAGTCTGTTAGGATTTATGCCCTTCTGTCATTCCTCCATTAGGTTTAGGTTGGCAAAATCAGATAAATGGTCCCGTGGTCATAAGGTATTCAGAAGATAGTCCCTGTGGTAAAAAAAAATCGGATTTAAAACCCTGTGATCTAAGTTTGTTAGGATTTATGCCCGAAACTAGAGGTTCTGTCATTTCTCCACTAAGCTTACAGGTGGAGCAGAGTTTCTCTGAGGAGATGCGACAGAACGTGGTTTAACTAATAAATCACATAATTCATTAAAATTCAAGATCTAATAAATCAAATAATTCAAAATGCCTTTATAAAATTAACAAGTTTTTGACTCTTGAATATCCAACCAATTAATTAATTCTTTATAACATATTCTATTTTTCTTTGACAAATAAGACAATAATCGTTGACGTTTTCCCAAAATTTTATGTAAACCTCTTTGAGATAAATAGTTTTTTTGTGTAATTGTAAATGTGAAGTAAGTTTTCGTATCCTATTGGTGAAACTAACTATTTGAAAATTCAACAGATCCTCTGTTTTCGTCTTTTTCTTCTTGTGAAATAACTGAGATGAATGAATTTTTTTACCATAAACTGAAATCTTCTCTACCCCCCTCTTTTTATTGTAAGATATTTTTATTGATAGATACTCAAAGAAACTCTACTCCACCTGTAAGCTTAACGAAGGAATGACAGAACATCTAATTTCAGGCATAAATCCTAATAGACTTAGACCACAGGGGTTTAAATCCAAATTTTTTCTACCACAGGGGCTATCTTCCGAATTCTTTATGACCACGGGGACCATTTATCCGATTTGGCCAACCTAAACCTAATGGAGGAATGACATACTGTGACCACATAGGTTTAAATCCGAATTTTTTTACCACAGGGACTATCATCCGAATACCTTATGACCACATGGACCATTTATCCGATTAGGCCGAGAAATTTTTAAGTAGGAGACTAGACTAGGTCATATGTACGGACACAAAAATGGCCACATACCTCATTCTCTAATTTTTGCACTTAACACTTTCTCTTAAAGCAGCATTAATATTAAAAAGAAAGAAAAAAAAGACATCAATAGTGTTTTTCAATTGAAAAATTCAATTATAATGTGGGATTACGTGAATTTGTAGCCATCACCCTTGTTGCAAAAAATGATAGTGACCTTAACTTATTTTTCGGTGATTATTAAAAAAAAAAATTACAACAAACAATGTTTAATTTAACATATCAAGTTAAAGAGCAAAACTTTAAAATAATCAAATATCATATTAGTTGTCAATTTAAATTTTATATTTAAATTTTAACATCGCCCTTTAATTCTCAAAAGCTCTCAGCCATATAAATAAATAAACACATTGGAAAATTCGGAAAAGAGAAAAAAAGGGGGAAAAAAAAAAGAGGGAAAGCCCAACAAAATAGCAGATAGAGGCCCACATAAATAAGGGAAACCAGGCCTAGTTAACTTCTCCAGGCTAGCCTTTGGTCCTCTCGAGCAGTTGCCATGACAAAGAGGATGACGTTCCATACCCGACTTACATGAATGTAATAACGATAATTTAAGTGAACGATTTTACAAAATTAATGTCTTTGGAGGTTTAAGGATTAACCACGCAAAAACATCTATGGCGAAATTTTCCCGGTCTTATGACCGTATTAAACTGGGTTTGAATCGGATCAAATCTGCTTGTATTTATAATTGTGAGTCCGTAACCCGATTACAAACTCATAAAACAAATTAAAAAAGTCATCGAAAAAGATAACGAGAAAACCAAACACACATCCCAAAGGACTCAGCTACAACAAACTAAAAAAGCAAGTAGAATTACATTAGACGGAGATTTTCGTGACATCTTCGTCATCCTTTACAATCAAATACAAAAAAATCCAAAGTACCTGGCTAAACTAAATAAGAATCTACTGTTACCGAAAAATATTAACAAGAATCTACCATTAGCTTCTATACAAACAAAGATAATGAGTTTACTCCATGCAGTTCGATCTACCAGTCATACCTGAAAGTTGAAAACATAGAATCATTAATGCTTTTATAGTAAAAAGAATGATCCCCCAAATACAGTTAGAAAACTCGTTTCAGAATCGATGCTTTCGACTGAAAGACTAAATAGGTTACAGAGTAGATTAACTGTCAAAGCCCTGACTAAAATTGACATTACTGGCAAGTCGATAGCTTCTTCAATTAAGTTCATGTAATTAAGAGCATGTTGTAAGAATGTGAACATGAGATAAGATGATCGGATATTAGTTGTTTGAGTCCAATCCGAATAAGAAAGCCTCTAAGAAGATGGAATTCAGTTCTTGGTAGTAGAGGATTCTATTGCAGGGAAAAACTGATTTGAATTAGGAAGGCTTAAGTAGTTTTCCATAAGGATTTTAATAGGGAATCCATATTCTAGTATGAGAAGGATATGTATGTACATATATATATATATATATATATATATATGGCAATCTCTTCTCTCACAGGTGTGTGCTCTTTTGGAACTAAGCCCTATTCTTAGTTTGAGTGATAAATACCCTGACAGAGAGAAGAAGAATTGCTGTGCTTTTCAGGTTGATCGAGATCCACCATGACTGCATCAAACGGGAGTTCTACAGGTTAGTATAATTAGGTTTTATTTGGATTGATGTTTTGTGTCTATTTGGTTGTAGTTTAAGTAACTGAATCTTGCAGTTAGATTAGTGTTTAACATGTGGTATCAGAGCCATAGATTCATGTTCTTAAATTCAATCGATAAAATTGGTTGAATCCAAAATAAAATTCCGGTCTTCAGACTTCGAAACAGGTTCTGGTAGTTAAAATTAGGAAAAGGAGAAACGGTGCGTTTTGATTAAAATATGATAATTAATACTTGACCGTTAAGAACTAATAAACTATCTTCTCTCCCGGATTGGGAATACAAATCGACATCTATCGATTTCGGTTTCGGGGTTGAAAAACTGGGTTATACGACATCTATCGATTTCGATTTCGGGGTTTGAAAAACTGGGTTATATAAATTGTTGTTGAGTATTCACGATTTATATTAATTGCTTCCGCTACTGGGTGTTGATGCTCATAGAACAAACGGGTATGTCTCCTGAACATTGAATTGAAATTTGTTTTTAATCTATCTTATCTTGAATTTTCATTATGTTCTACAGCATGATTCGAATAGTGAGCATAAAAATATGCTTATTTATGCTGATTAGTCCGATGTTTATGCGTTTTTCTCTAACCATCTATGGAAGGGAGTTCTTCGATAAGAACCTCTACAGATTTCACTTATTTTATGCAGAAAGTTTTATGAAGAATTGTTCATTTGATAAAGATCTGCTAAAACTGTGTTCTTAAAAGAAAAATCTTTTATTCTATATGTGCTTATCAATTCTTCATTGTTAAGATTATATATATGGATAAAAGGTTTTGATGATATGATGTACAAAGGACTGTGAGATGAAATCTGGAACCCTAAATGTTCTTATGTGATTTCATTGTGTTCTACAGTGTCTGCAATATCAATGAAGACTCTGAATTTGGCTAACATCCCAATTCTTACTGGTGGGGGAAATTACAAGAAGTGGAGAAGGGAAATCAGTTTGCTGTTGACTCTAAACGAGTTTGATATAGCAATCGAGAATCCCAAACCTGTGGTCAATGATCATAGCACAAGGGCTGAAAAGGCAGATTTTGAGAGATGGACAAGGGCTAATAAGGTAGCATTGTCCATCCTTGAGAGTGGCATGACTGATACAATCAGAGGAGGAATTAAGAGGCACGATTTGGCTTCTGATTACCTAAATGCTATTGAAAAGAAATTTCAAGAATCTGAAAAAGCTGAAGTGAGTCAGTATATGTCTTTATTAACTACTTACAAGATGGAGGGTACAAGCTCTATAAGGGATCACATAATGAAGATGACAGATGCTGCAGAAAGACTCAATGCAATGGACATAAACATAGGTGAAAAGCAGTTAGTCTTCATGATTCTTCAAGCACTTCCCAGTAAATATAGTCAGTTGAAGATCTCCTACAATACTCAAGACAAAAACTGGGATATTGATCAGTTGATTGCACAGTGTGTGCAAGAAGAAACTCGTCAAAAACAAGAAAGAGGCAAAGAAGTTGAGGACATCAACTTTGTGCAAACTATAAATGACAAGAAGCAGTTCAACAACAGAAGCTTTTCTGGTTCTAGTAAGAGTTCTAAGCCCTTTAAAAATTCTAATAAGTTCAGTAATTCTGCTAAAGTAGTTGACTCCCCTAGAAAATCTATCAAGTTTAAGGCTAAACCTAAAGATGTGTCTAAACTAAAATGTTTTTGGTGCAAAACTAAGGGCCATTTAAAAGTTAACTGTGAAATTTTCAAAGATTATGTAAAGAGCAAAGAAAAGGAACAAGTACTTGTCTGTATTGAATCAAATCTTTGTGAAGTACCTGTTGATTCTTGGTGGTTTGATACCGGATGCTCAGTGCATATAACTAATTCTTTAAATGGTTTTCAAAAACAAAAGGAAGTTGGAAATGCTACATATAATGTTTTTGTTAGGGAAGGAACTAA